CTCTGGTAGAATATCTTATGAACTTGTGCTACAAAACCCTTTTGTCCTAAACACTCACCCCTCTTAATGTTTGTTACTGCGGTGGAGGTTCCCGAACAAGAAGGAGTCCATAAGTTTTCAAAACTTAGATCTAGCAAAGAGAAGTGATAAATTCCCAAGAAATTAGATCAATCATATTTACTTTTCTTGATTAAAGAACCTTAATCGATTAAATAGTGTTGTTCGACCACTTGAAATGGATATTTAATTAATTAATTCCACATAGTATCTTGCGTTAAATAAGACTAGAATTGAATAATTAATTGATTGATTGATCACTTAAGCCAAGGGAAATCTTGTTTATTTTTGCTCCTTTCACGAATTTGAATTAAATAAAGAATAATGACTTTGCAATGTAATTCCTACGTGATTAATGCGTGTAAATAAAATGAACTAACTTAGTTTTTGATATCGTGTGGCATATATTGTTTGGTGATGAAATTGTGAAAAAGGAAGAGCTAGTAGAGGCCGCACAAGGGCTAGAATAGCGATTCTCCTTTAAAGGGAACATTATTTTAATACCCTCGCTCCCGAACTCATTTTTGGTTCATGTAGATCAAGTTGGGCATGGGTAAACTTACGATTTGTGCTAATTATCCCATGAACTCCACATGGGAGAAAGGCATGAACGAGGTTTATGATTTTTCCCAAAACTCATTGGCGACTCCTACTTGTTTCTTATATAAAAGCGTAATAATAGAATCAATTATAATTCAAGGTCCCCCAAACAGTCAGGAATTTAAATCCTAATACATCCTAACAAGTGTAAAGTCCTAGGCTTTTAAAGGGCCATATGAATCTAAGGAAGGATCCCCTACGATGGGAACACCCTCCTTACACATGGCCGCGCGCGACCCTTGAGCGGCTACGCCCCCTTCTTCTCCCTATTTCGTACCCTAGCATTTTGTAGTGGCCGCGCATGCAAGAGAGGGACCGCGCTCTTTGAGTTCCTTTTTGGAACGTCTAATTAACTTTGTTATAGTTAGTTTTGTTATAAATAGAATTTCCTACATTTTTATTTAGAGAAGTTTTTGGAGAAGGAATCAGGGAATTACATTTTGATTACATTTTTAGAGAAAGAAACTCTTGATTTTGTTGTATTGTTCTTAGATTCTAGAGAGAAAAGCTTGGTATTTGATGATTATTCTATTGAGATCTTCGTTCCTCTTTGATATTAATCAAAGTTCTATAAGAATTCTTTACTTTTCAGTGCAATTTGAAGTTTGATTTTGATATATTGTTGAATTCCTATTGTTTAGCTTGAATTTTGATTTTTGAAGTTGAATTACAATGTTGATTATTAGATTGATGATTTATGTTGTTATGCATTTCAATTTCACCATGATTAGTGAGTAGTAGATTTGCTAGGGAATATGGTGAAGCATGTTTTTGTTATAATCTAATGCTAATTTGGGGCATTTGATTGAATTGTTTATGTGATTAAATTTTTTAATGAAACTTGTGCATGTGCTTGGTTTGAAAAAAGTATCTAACCTTTAGGATCATGTTAGATTGCATAAGAGCCTTCAATGACACCAACAATTGATTTCAGTGCTATTATTATTGTTTAATCTCAATTTGTGATTTTCCTATTAGACTCATTTGCAAAAAATCTAGCTTGATCCTATGATGAGTGTCATTTATGGCACTCATTTGGTTCTTTTTAGGGTGAATTTCATGTTATTCTATAGCTCTTTTACTTAGCTTTTCCTTGATTTTACTTTTTATTTCTTTTAGTTTGCATTTTCTTAGTTGGATTTCTTTCTTTATGCATTTCTTGGTTTATTATGTTATTTTCTCTATTATTTGCTTGTTTTCCTTTATTTTTCAGGTTAAGGTCGGTATCCAAGTTTCCCGAGGCCTCTTCCCAAGTTTGGCATTAATTAGGATGCCCAGTGGTCTCCAATTGAAGCTCAAGCATGGAGAAGTGCAAGTTTCTGAAGACCTTGAGTTGTGCATTCAAGTCGTGGGGGCATGATTTCTAGTCTTGAACCTGCAAACATGGAGTTTAGAAACTGCAAGGTTTCGTGTTTATCAAGAGCATGAAGTTGAAAGCACGAGGAGCATCGGAATGATAGGGAAGATGGCTGCCCTGTTCCCAGCGCGGGAGCGTGCGACTATGGCGCGGCCGCATGGCTTGGTAGCACAGGCGCACCTCTCTCGGGAGAGGGCGCGCTTCTCTCAGGCGCGGGCACACCTGTTCAGGTCCCTATTCCGTACCAAGATTTGCGCGGCCGCTCTCTCTCTTGTAGTTAGCCACGCCTGTTCGTGTTTATTAGATTTTCTTTCTATTTTAAGAGAAAATGGAATTTTTCAGAAATTAGAATATAATTAGGTTAGATTTTTAGAGAGAGAAACTCTAGTTTGTAGAGAGAGAAGTTCTTGATTGATGATTGAAGATTGATGATTCCAAGTGTTTTTCTCCATTGAATTGAATCAAGTTTGTAAGGATTACTTTACTTTAATGCAATCTTAGTTTTTATCTCAATTTCTTTGTTAATTGTTCAAGTTGATTGATTTTTGAACTGGTATATTTTTAATTCATATGATGATGATGAATTTGATACTTAGTTTAGTTTTGATGATGATTTCCATGAATAGTAAGTAGTTTTCTTTCTAGGGAATTAGTGAAGCATATATGAGTAATTGATTTATGCTAATTGGGGGAAATTGATGGAGTTGATGTTGTGATTAAATTGGTTGATTGATTATGTGCATGTGTGTGTTTAATTTAGGAGTGATCAACCTAATTAAGTTTCTCATACTAGGTTGCATTATAGGTTCACATTGATACGGAAAATTGATTTGTGTCTTACATTTGTCGATTGAGTAGAATTGCAAGTTTCCTAGCTTGAGTCTCTCGTAGTTGGCGCTAGTTCGACCTCTAGGAGATTAAGTAGGATTGCAAGTTTACTATATTCTCTTGATTGCTTTATCGATTTTCCTACGCAACACTTGACTTAGTCTTCTCCAATCCCTATTAGTTAAATTAATTACGAGTATATCTGGATCCATACCCTAGTGCTTGAAAAATTTGATTTTCGTTTTGATTGTTTGATTGGTAGAATAGACACACCTCACCTCATTTGCTTCGAAATAGCTTAGCTTTGAATTTAGCATTCACCTCCCATTCCTAGTGGTTCGACCCTTGACTTACTCTATGCTTGGTATAGGGGTGTGTTGAGAGATTATAAATTGTGTTTTGACCAAGGGTAGATTAGTTTTCAACGACCTAGTCTCGCCCTAGATAAAAAAATGGCGCCGTTGCCGGGGAATGGCGTAGATGATTGCTATTATTGTTGAGTCTATTTCACAAAAAAAAATTGAAAATACAAAAAGATTTTCTTCTTTAGGGTAAATTTGTAGCCGTGCTACTAATAATTTTGTTTGAGTATTTGTGTGCAAGTGAACATGGGAGAAGCTCAAAGGGTTACATTGAAGAAGTTTGGCACTCCGGGTGCATACAAGTATGAGAGAGGGATTGCTCCATTATATATCCCGATAGTGAATTTGAAATCATGCCGGCAATGATATCCTTGATCGAAAGGAGGTAATATAGTGGAGGAGTTAATGAGAGCCCCCTATATCATTTTAAGGTATTCGAGAAATATTGCAACACAATTAAGGTGAGCAGGGTAGCTCCAGAATTCATAAGGCTTAAGCTATTTCCTTTTTCTTTAATTGGAAGAGCTCAAGAGTGCCTAGATAAGGAAGTGAAGCCTAATTCTTTGAGAACTTGGGATGAAGTCACCAAGGAATTCCTTTCCCGTTTCTTCCTTCAAAAGAAAACGGCAGATGCAAGAGCTTTGATTCAAGGTTTCAAGAAAAATTCTAGTGAAATCAATTATGAAGCATGGGAGAGATACAAAGAGTACCAACGTGAGTGTCCTCACCATGGGATCCCCACTTACCTAATAATTCAAATTTTTTATGGCGGTTTGAGTCCTCAAGGGAGAACAAGTCTAGATGCCGGAGTCGGAGGCCCAATCATGAATAAGACCTAGGAAGAGGTTGTAGGTATCATTGAGGATGTAGTTGGAAACTACATGGAATGGCAAGATTATGAGAAGGAGTCGATAAACAAGAGTAGCACAATAGGATGCTCAATGGAACAACTCAATGCTATCAATTTGTCGACTTAAATTTTGGATTTAGGAAAGGAGGTAGATTCTATCAAGTATAAGCTCGAGAGCGCGACCTCACAAGCACCGATTCTTCCCTCCCAAATTAAGGGGAGAGGTACTCCTTCCTCTAACTCTCTTCCTTCTTCTTGTTGCATGATTAGAGAATGTTGGTTTTGTGATTTGTGTGGAATGAATGATCATGATGCTTCTTTTTTCCCTAATGTTCCTTGTAATGAATATGTTGGGATTGAGAATGAACATGTGAACTTAGTTGCTAATAAAAATGTTGGACCTAGATTTGATGCTCAAAGGAATGTTGGAAATAGGAATTATCACAATCAAATGAACTATGAGAATTATAACCAAAATGGCGGTTATAGAAACCATGGAGTACAAGGGAATTGTGGTAGCTATAACAACCATAGTTATAATGGTCAAAGTCATGGCCAAGGATATGGGGACTATAACCAAATTTATTGTAACCATAATCACGATAGTGGCCAAAATCAATGTAGAGGTAATTGGAACAATCAAAGTAGGGGAAATTTACAATCGAATGGTCAAAGACATGCCCCACTTGGATTTGCCTCGAATACCCAAGAACATAGTGATAATTTGTATGATCAATCATTTTCCTGTAGGACTTTCTTGGAAGGTGTCATAGAGATGAAAGCCAAATTATTGGACACCTACATAACCCTAAGCAATGAGAAATTCAATGACATGTTAAATTTCCATAAGGGATTGGAGAACCAAATTTCTCAATTGGCTAATGAGTTTAAGGAATTTACAAATCTTTCTTCTTTGTCTTCATAAATCTTATATCTTAAGAGCCCTATGAATGCTATTGTGACTAGAGGTGGTAGGGTTCTTAAGAGTGAAATATCTAAGAAGAGTGATGCTAATGATAGTCCTAGCAATGGTCAAATTGAGAATGAAGGAGATGAGAATACTTTAGTTGAGGAAGTCAATAAGGAACAAGTTGAGAATGTGAAAGAGAGAGAAAGAGAATTTTACAAACCTAAGCTCCCTTACCCCCAAAAGTTTAATAGGCACAATCTAGACAAGCAATTTGGGAAATTTATAGAGATGCTTAGACAACTTCATCTTACTCTTCCTTTTATCGATGTGATAGAACAAATTCAAAATTATTCAATATTCCTTAAGGAGATTTTGAGTGGAAAAAGAACATGTGATGTGGCGAAAACAGTTAACTTGACCGAGAATTGTAGTGCAATCATAATGAACAAAATCCCACCCAAGTTGAAGGATCTCGGAAACTTTTCTATCCCTTGTGCTATTTATAAAATGCAAATTGATAATGCCTTGTGTGATTTAGGAGCTAGTGTTAGCATTATGCCATACTCGGTATATCAAAGACTAGAGAAGGCAGAACTTTTACCTACCACTATTACCTTGCAATTAGCCTATAGATCAATTAGGATCCCAAGAGGCAAGGTAGAGGATGTTCCCTTAAGGGTAGGAAAGTTCATCATTCCTGTTGATTTTGTGGTCCTTGACATAGATGAGGATTCTACAATTCCTATTATTCTTGGTAGACCATTTCTTGCTACTTCAGTTGCTTTGATTGTTGTCAAAAGTGCTAAGATTTCACTTACAATTGGAGATGAGGGAGTTGAATTTAATTTGAATGAAAGTATGAAGTATCCTTCTTCATCTCTTGAGAATTTCATGAGAGTTAAAATCTTAGATAATCTTGTATATTAAATACATGAGCACTTGCTCATAACTAATGATCCTCTTGAGTGTGTTTTGTTGAACAATGAAAAGATAGGTGCTCCTAGCAAGGACATGGCTTTGTATGAGATCTTGTTCGATGGAATCGTTGAGGGAAATGATGAACAAATTTGCATGAAAATCTCAAGCCCGGAGGCTTTGCAAGCGGCTTCAATCAAGGAAGGTAAATGTATTCCTATGGTAGATCTCAAACCTTTACCATCATAACTAAGGTATGAATTCTTAGGCCCAAATTCTACTTACTCCGTGATTGTTAGCGCATCTTTGAGTAAAAGCAAAGCTCAAGCGTGATGTGTTGTTTTGAGAAAGCACCAAGGTGCTTTAGGTTATACCATTGATGACCTCAAAGGTATAAGCCCCGCTTTATATACACACCACATAACCCTTGAGGAGGGTGCCCTTCCTTCTATTAAACGACAACGGAAATTACATCCCCAAATGGGGGAGGTAGTGAATAAAGAGATTTCTAAGCTTCTATATGCGGGAATCATATTCCCCATCTCAAGCTCTAGATGGGTTTCACCCATTCATGTCGTTCAAAAGTAGGGAGGCATTACCATCGTCAATAATGAAAAAGGTGAGCTCATTCAAACAAGGACGATCACCGGTTTGCGGATGTGTATAGACTATAGACGTCTAAACACATCCACTAAGAAAGATCATTTCCCCCTTCTTTAATTGATCAAATGCTTGAAAGACTAACGAGGCACAAGTATTATTGTTTCCTTGATGGTTACTCGGGATTTTTCCAAATTCCTATTCATCCCGATGACCAAGAGAAACTACTTTTACTTGTCCCTATGGTACCTTTGCTTATAGGAGAATGCCATTCGAATTTTGCAATGCTCCCGCCACTTTCCAACGGTGTATGTTGAGTATCTTTAGAGACATGTTGGAGGAAGAGATGGAGGTGTTTATGGATGATTTTTCCTTAGGTGGAGTTTCCTTTGAAGCATGCCTTGAAAATCTTGAAAAGTGTTTGGAAAAATGTAAGAAAGTGAATTTGGTGTTGAATTGGAAAAATTGCCATTTCATGGTTGAAGAAGGAATAATCCTTGGGCACAAAATTTCCCACAAAGGCATAGAGGTTGACAAGGCGAAGATTGAGGTTATCAAAAAGTTTCCACCTCCGGTCAATGTGAAAGGTGTGAGATAATTTTTGGGCCATAGCCAGTTTCTATAGAAGATTCATTAAAGATTTTTCACTCATTTCAAAGCCCCTCAGTGATCTTCTTCAAAAGGATGCCGAGTTTGTATTCGATGACAAGTGTTTGGAGGCATTCAATAAGTTGAAGGAAGCTCTAAACTCCACTCCAATTGTTCAAGCTCCAGGATGGGATTTGCCATTTGAGTTAATGTGTGATGAAAGGGATACGACTATTGGAGGAGTTTTAGGTCAAAGAGTTTATAAGAAACTTTATGTGAATTATTATATGTCCAAGACTCTAAATGGAGCTCAACGAAATTACACTACAACGGAGAAGGAGTTCTTGGCTATTGTTCATTCCTTTGAAAAATTTCGTTGCTATTTGTTGGGGTCCAAAACAATTGTGTACACCGATCATGCGGCCCTAAAATACCTTTTTGGGAAGAAGGAATCAAAGCCAAGACTAATTCGTTGGGTGTTAGAGCTTCAAACTTTTGACCTTGAGATTAAAGATAAGAAAGGAGCGGAGAATGTAGTAGCCGATCATTTATCTGGGCTTGAGGATTTTCAAGTTCAAGATGATGGGTCTCCCGTTGAAGATAGAATGTTAGATGATTCTTTGTATGCTATAGATGTGAAGGAACTCCCATAACTAGTAGAAAAATTGTCCTTTATAACACCCTATTTGTAACGGGCATAACAGAATTCGTTACAAAAAAAGTAATTGTAACGGGAAAATTATATGTCTGTTACGGAAAAAACTCATTTGTAACGGGAAACCAATTCCGAATAGTTAATAATTGTAACAGAAAAATAATTGCCTGTTACGAATAGTTGATATTTGTATGGGACAAATAAATGCCCGTTACACCTAAATCAAGCACTAGGGTTTGAAACCTTATTTTTTTCCTAGCTACTTTTCTTCCTCAAACGGGCTTTCTCTCTCCTTATTTTTCATACTATTATATTTTCCCTCTCTCTCTCTCTCTCTCTCTCTCTTTCTCTCTCTCACTCTCTACTCCTTTCTCGCTTTCCTCTATCAACGGCGGCCATGGAGAAAATTGTTGCTCGATCTTAACATTGCGAGAGCGAGAACTGCGTAGGAGCTGAGGTTTCGGATCGAATCGTTTCGATTGTGCTGTTGAATCGTTTCGGAGCTCAGATTAATTGGGAAGCTGATAAAATGTAAGCTTTCTTACCAAAAGCTCATCTTTTTTCCAACAAATTTCTTCTTTTTTCTCTTGTTTGCGGTACCATTTTATTTTTATTTTTATTTTTTTACATTTTCTTCATGTTTTTTTATTTTTCTGGGTATCTGGGCATTTCTAATTTTTCTAGGTTTTAGTTTTTTCACCAAAAATCTCATCTTTTTTAATATTAATTTATGAGAATTAAGAAATAAATTTACTTTCTCTTCTTAATTTAGCTTCTGGGTTATTTTAAGCCTTTTAGGTTTGTTCAGTTTTTCCATCACATTGTTTCTGACCATTTTTTTTTGTTGTTGTTTCAGTTTAGGTTTAAAGTTGGGTTTAAAATTTTTCTAATTAATAGTCGTAAACCCACAAAATTTACTCCTTTAAGTTTACTTATGGTTTTAAAGTCTTGGGAGCAGTATAAAATAGTGCCTCTTTAGTATGCATGCCTCCATTTATGTGATTTTCTGCAATTTTCTGTTTGGTTTTAAGATTTTTGGGCTGATAAATTGCATAATTTCTCCTTCCTTAAAGATTTTTCCATGTATTCTTTCTTTAATTTCCCCAATTTAATTTCCCAATTTTAATATCTAACTTTAGCTCAGATCTAGTTTATATTTAATTTAACAAAAAACACTTTATTTTAATTTCAAAAGTTTGTTAGATCTAACTGGAATTTTTCTAAATTAACCAGTAATTATTTTGGGTTCTATTTCAAAATTAAGCAATGAATCTGTAATTAATTCTATCTATGAGCTGGGTTGAAGATCTTTAAGAAAAATTTGCTGAATTAAATTCTTTTTTTTTTTTTGGGCATTAATTTTTTAGCAATGAATCTTACTATGTGACCAGTGTCAAATATTATATATTTATACTCCCTAATACATAATTGTTAAGTTATTGATAAAAAAACTCCCTCAAAAGATAGGGTTACGCTCTCTCGAAAGAAAGAACCGCTCTCCGTCGTTTTGCACGTTTCGATCTCTGGCACTATGGCCGATGATTTAGCACTGCAATACTCCTCTCTCGGTGTGGGAGAGGATGAAGGGGATATCATTGATCTTGGTGATGTCGAATGCTCTGAATCGAATGATAATCTGGAACTTTTGTTTGTAGGGCGGCTATACACTGAACGTCCGTATAATATTGAAGCTTTTAAAAGGACCATGGTGAAGTCATGGAACCTGTCGAATAAGATGGTAATTAGGGTTCTTAGCCCTAATTTTTCTTTCATTGGAGAGATAAGGAGAAGGTGTTGAAAGGAAGGCCGTGGTGCTGGGAAAATAATCTTCTTTTGCGTGAGGTTGAGGGTGATGAACAACCGGATCGGGTCGATATCAATTGCTCTCCGTTCTGGATTCGAGTCCTCAATTTACCTTTTAACTGCCGCTCTGATGCTTATGTGAAGGCTGTCTCAGCAAACCTTGGGGAATTCATGGAACTTGAGGAGGATTCTTTGGGATTGAACAGATATAGAAGGGTGCGAATTATGGTGGATGTGAAGAAACCTTTGCGTAGACACCAATGGATGAAAGATAAACGTGGTAATGAAGTTAGGGTTGAATTTAAATATGAACGACTCCCATACTTATGTTTTGCGTGTGGGATCATTGGCCACTCCGAGAAATATTGCATTGCTATGTCCGAGGAGGATAAGGGGAAAAAATTGGGATGGGGACTTTTCATGCGTGCTTCGCCAAGGAAAGGCTTCTCTAAAGATGTTGAAGAGTTGGAGTAGATTACTTCTAGCAGACGTCAATTGTTTGTGACAAAGGAGAATGAACCGACCCTAGAGGGTGCCCTTAACTCTGGTGAGGCGAGCGGAGCGCAGGAAGGGGAAGGTAAGGAGGTGGATGTTCCACAGACCCTATTGCCATGTACTGACTTGAAATGCACTGGGAAGGAGGTGATTTCAACTGTGGGGCCGAATGTGACTGATGAAGGGAACTCTATATTTAATCCCAACATAACACTTGTTTTTTCAAGTGGGGTTACATCAGGGCAAACAAAGATCAAGAAGGCCAAAAGAGTTCCTCGTCCTCAATCAAAAGACATTGATGACATGGAACATGATGCTTTACCTCTGCCAATACAAGCTGGTAAGCGCAAATTTATGTTGAATATTAATGATGTTTCTATGGGGGAGGATGGGGGAGGCAGTAAGAAAGTGAAGAATGATGATGTTGGTTGTGTAAGGGTGGATAACACTCAAAGGCAATGAAAATCTTAAGTTGGAACTGCTTTGGGCTTGGCAGCCCATTGTCAGTTAAAGCCCTCCGTGATTGGTGTTGGAGGGATAGGCCATATATTGTCTTTGTTATGGAAACTAAAATAGATAAGCATAGATTAGAATTAATTCAAAATAGGTGTGGTTATACTAATGGCGTGTGTTTTTATAGTGAGGGGAGGTCGGGTGGCTTAGGATTGTGGTGGAATGATATTAATGTTAACATTTGTTCTTTCTCTACTCATCATATTGAGGCTAATGTCTGTGATGCCAATAACACTCCTCTTTGGAAAGTCTTTGGTGTGTATGGATGGCCCGAAGCCGCAAATAAATATAAAACTTGGGATTTATTGAGAAACCTGAAAGCTAATAGTTCCATTCCTATGCTATGTTTCGGGATTTTAATGAAATCTTGAGTATGCAAGAGAAGAGTGGTGGTGCGATGAGAGGGGAAAGACAAATGGATGCATTTAGGGGTGTGATGGATGATTGTGGTTTTCGTGACCTTGGTTATAGGGGAATGTGTTTACTTGGCAGCGGGGTACTACGGTGGAAACATTGGTTCGTGAACGCTTGGATCGATATATTTCAACGGGTGATTGGTGTTCTCTCTTCCCTTATAAGGAGGTCATCAATTTTCCTATTTTCCATTCGGATCACTCTGCTATTTTGCTCAAATTTGGTGAAAAGATTAAAATGATAAAAATGGCAAAAATTTTCGATTTAAAGCTCTTTGGCTATCGAATGAGGAGTGTGGAAAGGTGGTGGCTGATTCTTGGTTGCCAGGTGCTACTGACTCCATACATGGCAAAGTGGCGAGGCTAGCCGAAATTTTGACCTCTTGGGCAGCTGCAACTTTTAGGGTTTTAAAAAAACGAATCAAGAATGCTGAGGTACGGTTACATGAATTACAAGGGGGGCATCTTGATGGTAATTTGCTCCATCAGTGCAATAATATTCGAGTTGAAATCGAGGAGCTCCGTAGACTCGAAGAGTCATATTGGTATTCACGAGTTAGGGCCAATGAGTTACGGGACGGTGACAAAAATACCAACTACTTCCACCACAAAGCAAGTAGTAGGAGAAGTCGCAACTCGATAAAAGGGTTATTTTGATGAGAATGATAACTGGCAGAATACAAAAGATAGGATAAAAAATGTGATTTCGGGTTATTTTGGGAAGCTCTTCGCAACTGACAATCCGACTAACTTTGAGGCAGTCATCGAGGGTATTAGACCACTTCTTTCTAAAGAGATGAGGCTTGTGCTTGAAAGAGAACCTTCGGGTGAGGAGATTTAGGCCGCACTATTTTAAATGCATCCTAACAAAGCACCCGGGTCGGATGGAATGCACGCATTGTTTTTTCAGAAATTTGGGGGGATAGTGGGGAGCGACATTATTCATTTTGTAAAGGAGTGGTGGAGGGGAGAGGTGGATCTTCATGAGGTAAACTGCACTTGTATTGTTTTGATTCCAAAATGCAATGACCTTACGAGAATATCTGAGTTTAGACCGATAAGTTTGTGTAATGTGATTTACAAAATTATCTCTAAAACTCTTGCTAACAAGATGAAACCGATGTTAGAGTCAACCATTTCAGTGAATCAAAGTGATTTTGTCCCTAATCGTCTAATTACGAATAATGCGCTAATTGCTTTTGAGGTGTTTCATTATATGAAGAGAAAGGGTGAGGGGAAAAATGGTACGGTGGCTTTGAAACTTGATAAGAGTAAGGCGTATGATAGGGTGGAGTGGGGTTTCCTTGAGAGGATGATGCAAAAGATGGGTTTTCCGGCTTCTTGGATTGTTCGAATTATGAATTGCCTTACGAGTGTCTCCTTCTCTTTCAAATATAATGGTAGGATTTCAGGTTCACTTATTCTAACCTAGGGCTTGCGCCAAGGTGATCCTATGTCCCCGTATCTCTTTTTAATATGTGCAAATGCGTTCTCAATGTTGCTATCTAAAGCAGCAGAGGAAAACTTTATTCATGGGGTACGTGTGTGTAGAGGGGCACCGAGGGTTTCCCATCTCTTCTTCGCAGATGATAGTATTTAATTTGCTAGAGCTACGTTGCAAGAATGCTCTAAAATTGCTGATATAATCATTACTTATGAAAGGGCTTCCGGTCAGAGTGTCAATCTTAGCAAGACGAAAGTAGCTTTTAGCAAATGTGTTTCTGCTAGTCGTTAATTGGAGATTGTTGCTATGTTGGGGGGTTAGTGAGGTTGAGAGACACGAGAAGTATTTGGGTTTGCCTACCATTATTGGAAGATCGAAGAAGGCGATTTTTTCCGGATTAAATGAGCGTATTTGGAAGAAAATGCAAGGGTGGAAAGAGAAATTGTTGTCTCGACCGCGTAAAGAAGTGCTTATCAAAGAGGTCGCTCAAGCAATCCCTACATATATGATGAGTATTTTTAGAATTCCGGAAGGTTTAATCGATGAAATTCATTCTCTTCTAGCAAAGTTTTGGTGGGGGTCGAATGGGACAGAACGCAAGATGCATTGGCAGTCGTGGGATTCTTTGTGCCTTCCCAAAGATATGGGTGGGATGGGATTCCGGGACTTGAAATGTTTCAATCAGGCATTGTTAGCCAAACAGGCTTAACGTTTGAGTACGGGGAGTAACCCTCTACTCGGGGGAATTCTGAAGGCTCGATATTACAAGAATACGGGTTTTATTGATGCGGTAAGGGGTTTTGATCCGAGCTATAGCTGGAGATCCATATGGGGTGCTAAGTCCTTATTGCTAGAGGGACTGAAGTGGCGTGTGGGAAATGGATTGAACATCAAAGTTTGGGAAGATGCTTGGATTTCTGGTCAGGGGGCTCACTTTGTTCTTACCCCAAATGCCAATAGTGACATGAATCTGAAAGTGGCTGACTTGGTGGACTCTGCTACTGGAAGGTAGAATATGGATATGCTCAACACCACTTTTACAAGGGAAGATAGGTAATCTGTTCTTAATGTGCCTCTTTCTGCTTTTGGGCCAAGGGATGTGCAATATTGGTGGCCGACCTCGTTAGGTATGTATACAGTACGGAGTGGGTATTGGTTGGGGCGTATGGGTAGGCTGCGAACATGGGAACTCTACCATGCTCAGGGTGAAAGGGATGTCTGGAACGTGGTCTAGAATGTTCGGGGGCCCCCAAAGCTATGTCATTTTCTATGGAGAGCGAGCAAGGGTCAATTGGGTGTTATGGATGTGTTGTATAAGCGCCACATTGCTGGGACAAGTATGTGTAATGTTTGTGGTCATGGGGTGGAGTCAATTTTGCATTCACTTTTTGAATGTAAATATGCATCTGAAATCTGGGGAATGAGTGACTTTGGGGATTTATTAGTAAATGATCCGCAAACTTCCTTTTCAGACAGACTTCTTTGGATGAGTACCTCTGTAGACAAAGAGCATTTACGAGTGTTTGCTGCATTGGCTTAGGCTGCTTGGCATTGCCGTAACACACATATACATAAAGGGGCTGATGGCATAAATGCAACTATGATGGCTGCAGGTTTTGTGAAGCTTTGTGCTGATTATGTTGATTATAATCAGAAACTCAGGGGCACTGTTACATCTACATCAGCTACTTCTCCCATGTCTTGGTCCCCTCCCCCTCTGAATGTTGTCAAAATTAATGTGGATGCCCATATAATCAGTGGTGGGGGAGTGCAATTTGGTGTGGTTATGCGTGACAACATGAAGAAATTAATTGCAGCAGCTGTGAAAAGAGTAGAGGCAAACTGGCCTCCCGACCTTGCTGAGGCTGGAGCAGCACGCTATGGGGTGGATGTGGCTCGTAGGTTGGGGTATGTGGATGTTGTTCTGGAAAGTGATGCCTTATCGGTTGTGCGTGCCATTCAGAACAAGCAGCAAGGAGTAGCTCTAATTTTTCTCTTATATGATGATATTAGCCAAATGTGTGAGAATTTTAATTACTTTTCTTGTTCTCATGTTAAGCGAGTAGGAAATACCGTGGCTCATAATGTTGCTAGGTGGGACACGAGTATTTATTCTAAGCATATTTGTTTAAACTCCTTTCCCCAAAGTCTTATCACTTTGGTGAAAATTGATTCTATATAATTTAATCGCTCGCTTTGCCTCAAAAAAAATTGTTAACTCATTAATCCATAACCATTATAAAAGTGCAAAATTTGCTACTATTCCTTATGAATAGTATTTTTTGGTGTTATGACATAGCTGCCCTTAATTTTAAGGAATTGCCGAGTTTGCCCTTGCTTAGGCACTTGGATTTTGCCATCTGTATTGGAGAGGCCAGTTGTTCTTCATGGCTTTTGTTGCAGTGACAGCTGGGGTATATTGTTCTTGCAAGAGTTGCTTTTCTTCTTTCTCTCTCTTAACTCTTAAGTCTTCTTCCTTCTTCTCCTCTCACTGTATTTCTCTCTCCTCCCGTTTCTCCTCTACCCGCTCTCACTCTCTATCTCCTCCATTGGAGCAGTTTCTGAGCTACAAAACCATAAAATTTATGATTTAATTTTGTTTATTTTTTGTGTTCATCTCTTCAATTAGATTTTCCTTTTATTTGACTGATTAAATTATTGTTTATTTCTGGGTTTTTTCCGCAGTTGAATTCTTTGGGTGGTTACAGAAATTCTTCCCCTTTTCTATGATCTAGATTGTTGTTTTTAATTTTTTTTTTCATTTTCTGCGTTTTTGTTGTTTTAATTAGTAAGGATTTGGGAGATTGATGATTTTCATCAGTTTTTTTTTTTTTTCCTTCGTAATGCAGGTTTAGGTGATGGTAATTTGTGCGTGAAAAATTAAAACAACAAAACGCCCCCATTTGCGGCTCCCTTCTCTACAACAAAGGCCTCCTCCGAGCAGGTACCCAAAATCAGTAATTGGTACTATTCACAAGCTATTGGTGCCATTAACATAGATACCCAAAATCAGTAATTGGTACTTGATTTATCTGTTTATTTGTTTGAAGAATTCTTTGGTTAATTATGGTTTGTTGATTAAGGAATTATGGGTATGTATTAAGGAATAATGGGTTAATTATGCTGAAATTTTGTTAATGGCATTTGGCAGAGTTGAATTTAATTTGAGTATGAAAGCAATTGATTAACACTTACCCAACATAAATTATTTGCTTAGGAATTATTTTGTGGGTATTATGGTAGTGTGTGGGATCGTTGTGGTGTGGTAGTGTGTGGGATCGTTGTGCGGTGCTTGTGAGTTAGTTGTTGTGGTGCGATCGTTATTGTGTTCTTTTTCTTGAGTATCACTTTTCCGTGCTTGTTGCTGCTGCAAGGGTTGTTTAATTTGTTTTGTTTGGGGCTGCTGTGCTTCCTTCCTAATTGAGTACTTGTGTGTGTGTGTTCTTGATATATTGATAACTAATTCAATGACTCTAGCTTACTAGCTTGCTACTAAGGTTTATCTTCATTCCCATGGTTTCCTTTATTCTAATCATTTTAGAATTGAGAATTTCTCAATTTAATTTGATAAAAAATTGGGGGTTTCTAATTTAGTTGAGTTCGTTTAAAATTGTGGGGATTTCTCGATTCAATTCAATACGTTTTAAAATTGTAGTTTTCCGGTTTAATTCAATTAGTTCATAATTTTGGGGTGCTTTCGATGCAATTTGGTAAAAAAATAGAGATTTGATTTCTCAGCATTCTAAAGTTAGCATAAATAAGCTATTTGCACTGCTTCCTTTCCTGCGAAGAAGGAAAGGCTTTTGAACCCTGTTCCAAGCTGGAAGACCTGAATTTGGAGGTTAGACAGAACTCTGGATTGATGGAAAAGAGGTATCTACTCCACTCTTACTAATTTAGACCTTAGAAGTTTGGTGTGTCGGACTAAGGGAATTTTGTAATTCAGCGAAAGCTTGAGTCTATTACTTATAACCTGTAAGCCTGCCGTCAGCAGCTTATAATTTCATATCTTATGAGTTCCGATCCCACTGTCCCACTGCCAGATTTTAGTTTTCATAGTATCTCCTGGGTTACAAAAGATTTTTTGCTTGGTTTTTCTAATTCACTCTAGCAGTTAATAATTTTGTACTATTTGTTGCACTTGTGTATTAACCAATGGTTAGATTTGATACAGGAGGAAGTTTGGGTGTTATTTATTTTTTCAGGCACAACTAGGATTTATAATGCATGCCATGGTAGGATGGAAGGAACACATAAATATATAGTGATAATTGATAAACATGTCAACTGCTTGAACACAGGTCAATTGGGAATTATTCCGGATGACCTAGAGTCATTAATAGCATGAGAGTTCAAGGAGTTACTAATGTCATGCATAGACAATTCACCATCTATATTATCTTATTTGAAAGGCTTTTTGAGATTCTGGAATTTGATTTTAAGTTTTCAAGCTTTTGCAAGTTTCAGCATGCTGAAAAGCAGGGCTAGGTCAACATTAAAGCAGAGGCATATGGACCTTGCAGTGCTACTTTATGTGGTACTTTTATATGCAACATTTGGGACAAGTTGTATTCTTTTGCTTCTCAATTCTATAATTTAGTCTTCAGTATTTTTTATTTCCTTGAATAGGAGTGAGTTGGATTTTTTGCTCTCCTTCAGAATTATTGCGTTTTAAGGGGTGCTACTTGCTGCTCAATGAACTTTTTCTCCAATACCATAGCTCCCCTAGATCCTTGCGTACCAATTGCATGTCCTAGAAGATTCTGACTAATTATTTTGACGTTCAATTTGGCTTATATGGCTTTAGGTACTTTTTTGTTTTATTACTCTGACATGGCTTTAGGTACTTGATTGGTTTTGGCAATTATCTTACTAACTTGATTAATTAGTATTAGATTATGTTTAATGATTTTTCAATTGGGTGAAAATCTGGAATGGCTTTTTCTCATTGGCTTTGTTTTGCCCAAAATTTGTTGTTTTTACCATAATTCTAGCTGACTAAACAACTAATAAACTGGTCTCCAAAAAAAGATCCTTGATGGCTTGATATGAAACTTTACTTCAAGTAACAGCTAAAATTTTATCATTTTTTTTATCATTCCTTATGAATAGTATTTTTTGGTGTTATTACATAGCTGCCCTTAATTTTAAGGAACTGCCAAAATTGCCCTTTCTTAGCCAATTGCAGCCTTAATTATTTATCTGATTGAGATCGTTAAATGTCTTAAGTGATTATTTTCTTAATGAAGGTTTGCTAGATAATTTGCTCTGACAAGCAGAGGAGTCAAGAACCCTCGCGTTACCATCTTGGAACTGTTGCTCTTCGGTAAATTTTCATTTTTAAAAAAGATGACTCTAATATTTTTTTTATTAAAAGATTGTATGATTTCAAAATTGAGCTAATGACAATAAAAATTTGAACACTTAATATATATGATGCTTTTAATATGCTGCTTGATTCTGTAAACCATATGTTTTTTTTGGTTAAGGTAATGGTAGACATTATATATATCCTTTAGACTTAGAGTTACTACTTTTATAAGCTACTTTTCAAAAAATCAAGTGGTTAGTGATTGTGGATCGTATCCATCTTGCTTTAGATTGGTGCTATGTATTATGTGTGTGTACGATTGTTACTACTTTAATATGTTATTATTTTGTTTGATTCTGATTATGCATTCTTTATTAGCAGAGATTGCTTTTAGTAAATTTACATGGTTAGTTTGCCACTCTGGATCATATCTCATCTTGTTTCAAAATTGGCGTTTTGTATTGTTGTTCGAGTGTTAAGTAAATTGCTATTTGGTTTGATCTTGATTATAGTCCGATTATCTAATAGTCTCTATTTTTTGGGGGTTAATTTTTCGATTTAAAACTTTTGTGTGAATATAAACAATAACAATGCTGTAATTCCAATTGTTTTGTTTTCTCGTGTTCAGTTTCCTTAATTTTCAGGAAATAATTCATCCTCTGTACTCTATTTTTCATTTTCATTTTTGTGATGATTTTTACTTCTTCAGAACATTTGATGAGGGAAATTGCCGTAGAAACGGATAGGCCAATGGATCTCAAAAAGGTAGACCCCCCCCCCCCCCCCCGACGCTATGCTATGAATGATGATGAAGGTACACTCTTGACTTTATAGTATGCTTTAAGAGTATCATTTTACTAATGTTATTATTATAAAGAAAAGTATAAAAAATATAGAGTAGCATAGACTGTATAGGTTAACTTTATAATATGCTTTAAGAGTCATTTTACTAATTTTGGGGTGCTTTCGATGCAATTTGGTAAAAAACAGAGATTTGATTTCTCAGCATTCTAAAGTTAGGGCCTTATTTATTTTTTGATTAAGATCGTTAAATGTCCAAGTGATTTTTTTATTAATGAAGGTTGCAAGATAATTTGCTCTGACAAGCAGAGGAGTCAAGAACCCTCTCGTAACCATCTTGGAACTGTTGCTCTTGGTCTTCGGTAAATTTTCATTTAAAAAAAAGATGACTAATATTTCTTTTATTAAAAGATTGTATGATTTCAAAATTGAAGTAATTGTTTTGAATTATCTTTAATGATTAAACCTTTATAACGCACTCTTGATTCAAAATGGATAGCCATGTATTACTTTATTATAAATTATTAGCAGAGTGCCCAACGATCCGTATAGTTTCTTTTGTAGTTTATGTAATTGTGAACTTGAAATTCTGTATTATACTATTATTACACTTTATGCTTTTGATTAGGGATCAATAAGTGTGGTAACAGATAAAACAATGAGGTATGCTTGCAAAAACAAGAAAACTATCTCAGTATTGATCTAAGCTTGTAACATACTATTTTGTATTAACTTTGTGGCAGAAGTTATATGATGACACTACAATTGTGATATCAAGAATTCCTTTTCAACTAAAATATTTGGTATTGGTTAATTTGAGTTCTGGTCTGACTCTTTCAGGTTAATACTCTAAGGTAGCAACTGCAGCTCATTGCATCAAGCATATAGCGATGACAATTATGACTTCAAATAATATTGAGCCTCGTAGCTTTTTAACTTATTCTTTTACACATTTTGAGATTCTTCTAATGTCGAGAATTTTCTAGGCCCGGAATTCTATATTCTTTGTAAATTACCTTCTGATCATGTGCTCTATATAGCTTGGTTTGATTCTTGTCCAACTGGTTGTGTTAATATGTTCTTTTGGATACATGTATAATCTATGAATATAATCAATTTGTTTTGTTTCGGATAATTTGGAGTGGAAGTTGCATGTTAAATTGTTAATTGGTTGTACATTATGCTCTGTTTTTTTTCAACAGCTGTATTTTAAGCTTTTAAAGGTAAAAGAAAGAGAGATGAGCCAGGAGGAGGGAGAGGGAGAGAGAGAGTGTCTGGGAGAAAAAGAGAGAGATAAGGGTCAGAAAAGAAAGAAATAGAGCAAATAAGAGATTGAGGGGCAGGGAGAGAGAGATATAGTGATAAAGAGGGGAATGAGTCTGGAAAAAGAGAAGGGTCGGGAGAGAATAAGAGAGAGAGGGAGGCTTAGTAAACCGTTTGAGCTATACTAGAAGAGTGGATAGGTTGGAGAAAAAAAGGAACAAGAAAGTGAACGAATACAAGGATGAATAGAAAAGAGAAATGAGATAGAGTGATAAAGAGAGAGATGAGTCGGGAAAGTGAGAAGGGTCGAGTGAGAATAAGAGAGAGAGAGAGAGGCTCACTAAACAATTCCAACTATATATAAAAGAGAGTGGATAGGTTGAAGAGAAAAAGGAACAAGAAGGTCAAAAGAAAGCAAGGATGAATAGAAAAGGGAAATGAGATAAGACGAGGAAGAAATATAAGAGACGGTATATATGAAGGAATAAAAGATAGGAAGAACTTAAAATCAAGTTAGTGACTACCTCACAAATAAGATCCCATAAACATCAATTTATCATGTTAATAACACCCCAAACTATAAAACGCGATCTTAACCACGAATCTTACATATCATACCATCGGGGAGGCACACACATAGTGTCGTGTGTGCTCCAACGACTATAATCTTAAATATAAAAAGTGTAAAGCTATTCCCTCCCAACATATAATTGTACATATAATAATTTATAAATAAATGACCGGCAAATATACTTTAATACATACACAAATCATATTTCTCATTAATTTTATACTTTTCGTATTGATTACAGATTCTTATTACTATATTTTCAGTAGAAGAACCACTTGAAAATTTTCTACTTCAAAAAGTGTAATAAACTAATATACAATTCTATCATATATTTTACATTTAATCCATTTTACATAACTTTGCATTTCCTTATTATTACTCCTTATTCTCAAAATCATTTTAAAACGAAGCTATTTTTAAAATTAATTAGGTACTCAATAAGAAAATGAGTGTGTTCTAAAATAATATCTAAAACAATAGTATAATTTTTTTTTAAAAATCTTTAACTTATAACAAATTCTAGATAACTTCACTTATAACAATTGTTTTCCCATAACTATTTCCCAATAAAAACTTTATCACTACTCCTTGTTAGTACTTAATTCATGTATCCTTGCTATTACAAAACCTAAATAACAACAACCACGAATATCACAAAAATGAAGACAACCACGAACTCTACTTATCTTACCCTCGGGGGAATGCTCCAACGACTAGTTTATATAAGTGCACTAATTCTTCCGATTTTATTGTAAAATTAGTAAGTAGTACATTGGGTGCATATTATGCGTGTATTTATTTGTTAACAATTTGTCATATATGACAAAGCTCATCTAGTTATATTTTGCAGGTAGTCAATGATTTGTAACTAAGGGAATTAAAAGGGAAGAAAGCCCATTTGGCCACATTACTTGAAATTAAAAGAACACGGTTTTGCTTGATGAGTCAAAATCCACTCACTGTTTCACTCCTTTAATCTCACGGATTAAAAGCAGCAAGAAATAAAAAAGAAAATGAGGATTTCCTTGAAACCCCACGAGATTAAGAAAGAAAAGGGAAATATCCTTTCCTAATGAGCACTAGCTACTGTATGAAGAATTTCCTTGATTCTTCGCAAGGTAATTTCCTGTTTAATTTTCATTTAATAGATATTTATTTATAATTAAATACTTTCTAATTTTAGTGATGTATATGGCATGATTTATCTTATGTGACTAGCATAGTTTTGTATGAAGAAATGGTTGATTTTAGTTTATTATGTTAAATCTTGAAGGTTGATTTGTTGAGGTTGCATAGTTGTTAAAACGTTATTTGCTTTGATTTGATATAAAGGGAATTAGGGATCTTCAAGGAAAGTTGTATTTCTCCTGCACAATCCTTGTGCATATTTCTTTCAAATTGGGTTATGCTAAATTGGCAGTGTTCTATTGATGAAATGTTGAATTGGATGAATTTACGGAATTATGATTCTTTGAGATGCGATGAATTATGTATATTGACTTGTTCTTAATTGTGGAATATCACATTTCTCAAAGAAATTAATCTGTTTAAGCTTTTATAAATTGGGATGAGAACTGACGAATGAGGATTTTGTTAAAAGAGTTGATAGTGGAAAATCTTTTATTCTATTTCGTTGTAACTAGTGTATTGTGTAGTACTTCGTATAATAGAGGGGAAGCTGTCTTGAGCTGGACAAATATGTAAGAGAGCATAACTGCATACCATTCTACTAAGTTTTAATTGTTCTGTTGTGTTGGAACAACAAGTGTGTAGTGTGTGAATTTTGTGAAAAAACTCAAAGTCCCACATTGGTGGGAAATGAGAGTTTTACTCTCTTTATAATATAGAGAGTGGGCTAAAGGGGTGTGGCCCTTGGGCTACCCACATTTTGTGGAGAGGGAGGACCTATATGGTAAACCATATATCACACACACGCGCGCCGAACTGAGCCGAGCCGGGCTGGGCTGGGTCGGGTTTGGGTTTGGGTTATTAAACAAACTTAATTTTTGTTACCGGTTTGATTAATATTCAGTTACAAAACGTTTTACTGTTTTGGTTTAAATTTTTCCGTTACATTGCTTGATTCTCGTTGCTGTTTTACTGCTAAACGTTGCACCGTTACACTGATTTAATGCCTTGGTTCTTGCTTAACGGATACACTAATTGCAGTAAACGTTGCTAATCTTTCTCCCGTTTTCATGCTTAAGCTGTTACGTATCTTTACCTATAAAAGAACGGTTCCAGCTTTGTTTTTAAACACACGAAAAAATACAGAAAACCACTTTGCAAAATATATTTTCTCTTCCTCTCAAAACAGTCGAGCAGTTTCTTTCTGATTTTCTGGTGTTCCGTTGTCCGGTGGTTCGGTGCAAAACCGCCGGTATTTTATACTTGTGAAAGACTGTTTTATCCTGGGGGCATCCGGTTTGGTACGAGCTGCTTGCACAAGTTTGAGGCAGTGCCGCGAATGTTCTAAAGAGAGCGACATAGTCCGCGACTCAGTCTTATTCTCGGTAACATTGTTCTTACTATTTTATTTGTGCAATTCCGTTTATAACAATTTTAGAACAATCGTTTCTGCCTTCGTGAACACTATGTCTACCGAAGAAATGACTATGTCTGCTGACCTTAACAAGCCCTTTCGTTTTGAGGGCGCTCACTTTAAAAGATGGAAACAGAAAATGCAATTTTTCTTAACTGTCAAAAAGGTTAATTCTGCCTTAACAGCCCCTCGGCCATTTATTCCTGAAAATGCTCCTGAAGATGAATTAGCTTACTTGAATAGTGAAATCGAAACCTGGAATGAAACTGATTTCATGTGCAAAAACTATATACTTAATGGTCTGTCTGATAACCTCTATGACTATTATAATATGGAAAATACTGCTAAGGATTTGTGGGATGCCCTACAAAAAAAGTATGATACTGAAGAAGCAGGTGCCAAAAAGTATGCTGTCAGTAGGTACCTAAAATTCCAGATGACTGATGATAAGTCCGTAGAAGTGCAGTCTCACGACCTTCAGAAAATTGCCCATGAGATAATTTCCGAAGGTATGGCCCTTGATGAACAATTTCAAATTGCTGTTATTATTGACAAGCTGCCTCCTTCCTGGAAAGACAACCAGGCCATATGGCACGAAAGTGCAGGAACATGCCTAAACCCTGTGCCTGCGCAGGCTAGCATGATTGAAGAGCCTTTTGTGGCTATGATTACTGAGATCAACCTTACTGGTGGATCAGATGGGTGGTGGATAGACACTGGTGCCACACGCCATGTCTGTTATGATCGTCGAATGTTTAAAACATACACTGAAAAGACCGATGATAAGAAAGTACTGTTGGGTGATTCCCATTCCACTAACATTGCTGGTATTGGAAATGTTGAGTTGAAGTTTACTTCTGGCAGGACTCTCATTCTGAAAGATGTGTTACACACTCCGGAAATGAGGAAGAATTTAGTTTCTGGTTTTTTGCTTAATAAGGCTGGTTTTATACAAACCATAGGTTCTGATTTGTTTACTTTAACTAAGAATGGAATATTTGTAGGAAAAGGATATGCTACTGATGGCATGTTTAAACTGAATGTTGAAGTTAATAAAATTTCTAATTCCGCTTATATGTTGTGTTCTACTATTAATGTTTGGCATACTAGACTTTGTCATGTGAACAAAAGACTCATAAAAAATATGAGCCATTTAGGCCTTATTCCAAATATCTCTCTCAATGACTTTGACAAATGTGATTCTTGTAGTCAGGCTAAGATTACAAAAACACCTCATAAATCAGTGATTAGAAACTCAGAACCATTAGACTTAATTCATTCGGATATTTGTGAACTAAATGGAACGTTGACCAGAAATGGACAACGATACTTTATTACCTTTATTGATGATTGTTCTGATTATACTTGTATTTATTTGATGAAAAATAAGAGTGATGCTTTTGAAATGTTTAAGTTGTTTATAACAGAGTTTGAGAATCAGTTTAACAAGAAAATAAAAAGATTACGAAGTGATCGTGGAACTGAGTATGATACTGATGCTTTTGTAGAATTTTATAATTCACATGGTATCATACATGAAAGGAAAACTCCTTATTCCCCAGAAATGAATGGAAAGGCTGAAAGGAAAAACAGGACCTTTACAGAATTAGTAGTTGCTATTTCCTTATATTCTGGTGCTGCTGATCATTGGTGGGGTGAAATTCTACTAACTGTTTGTTATGTCTTAAAACGTATTCCAAAGACTAAGAGTAAGGTTTCTCCCTATGAAATACTTCGTAATAAACGACCTAACATTTCTTATTTCAGAACTTGGGGTTGTCTAGCATATGTTAGGATTCC